GCCCTGTCTCTCCCCCCCCCAGTGCCAGCAGCCTGCAGAAGAGGAGGGGACATCCCTGCCAGGGAACTGGCAGAGTGGGGGAGTGGGGGAGAGCCAGGCGCTGGGGGCAGAGAGTGGGAGGATGGAGAGAACAAACTTACTTTCTTCTAGGAATTTGGGGCCTCGCAGGAATATGAGGCCAGGCCTTGGGGCACTTGACAGCCAGCCAGGAGTCCATTGAGACAAAAGTCTTCTTTGATCTGCCGCGCAGTTAGAAAAGGAGATTGTTAACCTATGTTAGACAAATAACTCCAGAGGAGCCACTAAGCAGGAAAAGCACCAGCTGTTTGGGCTGGTCTGTTGGGGATCCCACCTCCTGCAATTCTCCTCCACCTTCTGGCCCCATGGGATTAGGTGGAGGTGGCTGAGGGACCCTTGCTTCCCTGTGTCCCAACCTCACCAAGTGCCCCGAGCCCAGCTGTGTGCAGTGCCCGATCTTAGGGACACCCAGGCATAGGGCTGGGATGAGGGGCCAGAAGCATGGCTGTTCCCAATCACAGACCCCAAAGGCAGCAAGGCTCAAAACGTGCAGCTCAGGTATGTGTAGCTGCTCCTAGGCCAGTCCTTGGATATGGTTCTGCAGCACTAGCAGAAAATAAGGAGCTTCACAGGCTTGCGGTTGTCACTGACAGAGCTGCCTCACAGACCCCAAGGAGGAGGACAAGATTATGAGCCATGTGGGCTGGTGATACGCCGTAGCCATGCTGATAGTATCTGCAACAAGAAAAAACTGTCACCTAAAACTGCTGCTGTGAGCAGGGAGGGGAGCTTATTCCTACAGGCAGTCCCCGGCAATCTGGCTCCCGAGGGCCTGCATTTGCAATCCCTGATTCATATCTGTTCCCCCTGCTCAGTTAGCAAGGTGACACCTTCCAGCTTTCCTCCAAAGTCACCCAGTCTCGTAACACCTGCCCACGCTCTCCCCTAGCGAGTGCCAGAGTTTAAAATAAAGTTCCGTTTCCTACACGTATTAAGTGTCAGGAAGGACCAGGGGCAACAGTGCACAGCAGCATTTGTGCACAAATGCATTTGGCTGACAGGTGGAAACATTACAAAGCCTGCAATTTCACCACCCAGCACTGAGCTCTGGCTGCAAGTACTAGGAATTGCAAATGATCCCTTTTCCAGCAAACGCCGTGTGTGGCGCAAGGCAGGGAAGTGCTGCAGAGCCTCTCTGGCGCTGGGCTGTTGGTCCCACTCTTCCTCACGCGGCAGGAGTTGTCAGAAGGCATCTTCATTTCGCAGCTATTCAGTGATCCCTGAATTATACAAGTCTCTCCCTTGCTGCGCATTCATCATTGATGCTGCTTCCTCCTCCCTCGGAGACCGAGGAAGTAATGCCTGGGGATGTAAAATCTGCTTTTCGCTGCAGGCGGGTAGCCAGACCTGTGGTGAGACGTGACAGTGCCAGGGACAGAGCGGGGCAGAGAGGCTCGATCTGACATGAGCTCTCTGGTGGATCTGGCTGTGGAGATTGAAGACACTAGCGTTTGTCTGCTCTGCAGCTATCCCAGGCGGTTTCTGCCCCGTGACTTGTGCTGCAGCAGCCTTCAAGCTGCCGCGTCCTAGTTTAAGTTACGATATTAGAGGGTGGGCTAGAAGGGCTGAGGAAGGAGCGTTCCTGTTGCCACGTTAGTAGAGGCAAAGGGCAGGTGGCCAGTGGACAAGCACATGTGGTGGTGTCAGGGTGCCAGGCTCAAGCAGCCATGCAAAAGTGGCCACAGGCTTGGCCTAAAGCCTGCAAGGTTTAAAAGCCAGTGTTTAACCACCTGCCTGGCTGTTTTCCTCAAGACCAAGTGGAAGGGAAATGTTCTGCACTGAGGGCAGGCGGGGAGGGAATAGCTGTACATTAGAAGGACCACACACATGCCACCAACTCCCCATAAAACCCCGCACGAATATCCCTGCATTTCCCAAGAGCACGAGCCAAGTCTCCTCTCAGTTACAGGGGCATGTGTAGGGCTGTGGCTCAGACGGCACCCAGCGCCCGGCTGAAAGAGCAGCTTTTCCGCATGAGTAGCCCTGAATGAAGAGAGCTGGGAGCTAAGCAAACACTTTGGCCAGTACTTTCCTCCGTCTCTTTTTCTAGTCTTTCGGAAGTATGTTTTAATCAGTGCTTGCTTTCCCACACCGCTGCTTTGTAGTCTTGTTAAGTGCTGTCACTGGGGCCCATTGAAGCCTGGTGCCAGAGGAAAATTCCCAAGAGATTGATGGCTTCGCACCTGCCCGCACAAACCCTGAATTTGGCCCATCGTCTGATGTCTGTAAACCTGCTCACTGAAGGTTTTTTTGGCACTGGCGTGCAATGACATCCAAACTCCCATGCGTTTCTTCACCCAAATTAGCTCCTCAGCCCACTGCCTTGCCCAGCCTTTTGCATCCTCCCTGCAGAGTTAGTGGTTTTACTGCGGGCTCAGGCCGGAGCAGCCTCAGCTGTGAAGCTCAATCTCCCTCTACAATCCCCACCTTTTCTTCTTTTTTTTAAAGAGTATGCAAATGGTGTATATTATTGGGCCTCTGTGGTTTGAAAATACACGCGCACGCACACGCACACACACACGATATCTCACAAAGCCCGTGAGAGTGTTTCATAACAGAGGGAAATATTGGGAAGGTTTTATCTGATAGCGTAAGGGAAGTCTGTTAAAACGCCTTTACTGCAGGCCGCAGGAATAAGAAGCCACCTGTAGAAGTCATCCAGCACCGGTGAAGGAAGCCTCGCTGGCTGCTTGCATAGTGCTCAGGGCTCTGCTGCACAGGCTGGGTGTTTTTTGGCTTTTCCAGTCTCCTGACTGCTTTGTGAGAGGCAGCGAGGGGGGCTCTCTCGCTCAGGTTTCAGGCTCATGTCTTCATCAGGGCACGTCTTTGTGTTTCACTGGTTCTTTCGTGCCTCCTCCGTGCTCCTTTGACTCCCCTGACTCCCCCCCCCATGACGCGGTCAGTATTTGCAGATCACCTCTCTAACGCTTGTTTCTCCCTGTCTTCTCTCTTTTTTTGCCACCTGACAGGGGGACCCCATACCTGACGACATTTATGAGATTCTGGGTGGCAGCTCAGTGCGCTCCATCAGCGACCTCCAGCGCGCCCTGCGGATAGACTCCGTAGGTAAATCTCCTCTTCACCAAACACTCTCTATTTATTCTTAAGTCTTGGTGGGGGAGGGAGGGGAGATTCTGTTTTCCAGCAGGCACACCACCAACAGACCTCACTATAAATATAGGATTCAGTCAGGAACCAAGACCTGGCTGTTTACACACCTACTCCTCCTGAAACCTGTGGGAGTGAGGCAGCTGGATGCCTTTTTTGATCTCCTCCTACTTGCCTGGTCTATCGAGGGACGTTGCCTTCCAAAAATGATAGGAGGTGGGCAAGGTGAATGCAAGGAACTGAGGTCTGCACATTTCACTTTGCGAGATGCACAGGCAGCAGGGCTTGAATTAGCCAAGGAGGTGGAGAAATGGGAGGTGGAAAGGGGGTGATAGAGGAAGAAAGGGCTGAGTGAGTTCTCAGGTTTAGCATCCACAAAAGGCCACGGACTCCCAGAGGCTGTTAGGATGAAAGCACCACAGCACGCGTCTGCGGGTGAGATATGGGACAGGGGCTAAGTCAGGGTAGCGTCGCTTCACCTCCTGCCCGTAGATAAGAGCTCCAGGGGCTGCAGGGCCTTGGGGTCACTTGGCCAGGGCTGAGCACAGAGAGCAGCGGGAGCGGTGAAGCGTGGAGGGGTCGGCACGTGTGGGAATCCGAGCACGCGCCACAGCGGCTGGGCTGGCCCAGGAATTTATTTATAAATGGTCTCTTCAGAGCAAATTCCTTTCTATTCTAACCCTGCTCCCGCCCGTCATTCCCCCGGCCCCCCCAGCTCCCCTTCGCTCTCGTGTTTTGTCTGTTTGGAGCTTTGTAATCCTTGCCGAGACACTATCTACGGGGGAACAGAATTTCCTGCTTTTGTTTCCTATGCCAGTCCAACCACTGGCGCAGTCTCAAAAGCATTCCCGCTGCCTTTCAAAACGGCCCTGGAGGGGCAGAGGGGGGGGGAAAAAGCGAGGGGGAGGGCACCAGCTGCGTTCAGCTATTGTTTGCCTTAGAAAGAGGCAACGAGGCTCCCCACCACCACCACCACAGCCGCTCCCTGCCCTCACCAGTTCCCTCCTCCTTGTCCATGAGCCACACAATGGGGCAACTTCCAAAATTAGCTGTGCTGGATTGTCCCAGGCTGGTCCCCCCTCCGCCCCAACCGTCTTCAGTGCTGACCTGGGGTGTAGAGGGACAACCTAGGGGAGGGAGTGACCTGGTTTTCAATAGGAGATTTGTTTCCAATCAACAGTTGTTGCTGTTAGGTTTTTTTTTCCCCCTCTCTCTCTTCTGATCGACTCAACCTCTGCTCACAAGGCAGCCCCCACCCTTGTTTGATAAAATGCCAGGCGGCACAGGATGGAGGGGTGGGGAAGAATGGCTGAGAAGATGCGTGCAGTCTGTCATGTCCTGGTGTCTAAGGAACAGATACATCTCTGTCGCAGTTACTAACCACCCTCACAGTTAAGAAATAAAATGGGCTTCTCTAGTTGGCATGAAAAGCCCACGGTATGGGAGAAAGGCTGCAGGGTTTGAGTGACTGGTTTCACTTCAGGTCCCAGATGGGAAAGGCTGGTCGGGGAGATGGGAAACGGTGCTGCAAAGCTGTCTCTGTGTTGCACCCTCTGGCTTTCATCTACTCCCAGATAGTAACTGAGGGGCACCACCATTCACTTGCCCTGTGTGAAATTAGCATATTAGCAAATAAGTGTATTAGCAAGATAATCTCAAAGCAGCTGGAGCTGTTCCCTTTGCTGTCCATGCACCCTGTATGTGTCACAGCTGCTGCCCTTCACTGACATCACAGGGAGCCAGGATTAGGCAGCTCCAGGAGGGAGGTGAGCTGAGATGCTGCTCTCCAGAGCTTAGACACTACTGCTACTACTTATTATTTACTACTTACTACCCTGTACTACTTACTGTTACTCCAACAACAGAGGTGTGTAGAGTGGGGGTCATCTCCCTGAACTGTGTCTGCCCACAAAGCAGGCGGGCCCTCTAAGCTAGTCATCCAGACATCTTCTGTAGCCCCTAGAGAACTACATATCCTTCTAGGGCATGATCCAGTGGATCTCATTTTGGGTGTCTGCCTCAGGGCAAGATGGATGCTGTCTTAGAATTGATCATGCCTCTCCAGCAGCTTTAAAGGGTGTCTGTCTGGCCACCTCAAGCATAGATGTTGCCTGGTCAGGCACACGATTCCTGCCTTGTGAATACAGCCTCTGTACACCCATCCCAAATCCTTCAGCAATTCCTTCAGAGCTGAGCAGAGAGCAAAGTCTCTTCTCCCTCTTATAAGAAGGCAGGGCTGAGGAAGAGGAATGGGACATGATAGGTATGGGAAGTCTGCTCCAGTGCACATCTGATAAACAGAGATCTTCCAGTGGCCCCAAATTGCCTTTAAGAAAATTGCTCCCTTGATGCTGACGTCCATTCAGCTTCCTTCAGCTGCTAAAGCAGGTCAGAGAAGGAAAGAGCTGTGGCTGGGTGGGAGCTATCTCCGAGCGCAGCCATTGTCTGGAGCTCAGGAGGGGCTGTGTGTTGGAGTGCTCCATGGGGATTCTGGGCATTTCTCTATTGAGCACTTCCTATGGGAAAAAGCAGTGGGGTGGGAGGGAACTGCTCAGGGCTGGCCTGAATGCTATCTGTCTTCCTCTCCCATCACTGACTGAGCCACCTCCAGATCCTGCAACTTACCTTACAGTAATGTAGGAGAAAATTAAACTTTATTTTTCTGTTCTTCTGTCATAAAACTGACTCTAACCTAGAGTGGGTGCAGTGGGTTGGAAGAGGGAACACAAGCACCCCACCTCCCACCCATCATCGCTTGCCCTCTCACCCCCCAACTTTCTTAGTCCCAAGCCATCCCAGCAAGGCACCTCAGTGTTATATACCAAACTTTCTGCTGGTCCCATCTGGTCTTTGATCCTCCTTGTTCTATTCTGGTCTCAGACTGGTGATTTGAATCCCTCAGGATTCTTGACACCGTCTGACATCAGAAAGCCCTGCCGTACACCTTGTAACTGTTGAGCTTGAGTTTTCATCTTCCAGACCTGGCTGGGACTCCTTTTTCACAATAGACTTGTAGCTTTGAGCTGCCTAGTCTGAGCCAAGGGCAAACCTAGAGTGTCAAATGCCCAAGCAGAGCTGTGACCTTGCTGATGGATTTACACATAGCATGACATACTGGGGCCATGGTTTATCCTACGTCTCTGCACTTTGTCTGAGCACAAGTGCCTGCCATCTTCTCATGCCTCTACCTGGTGCTATTAGATCATGTTTTTCCCTTTGCAGAGGAGGATGCCTCGAGCCTGAGCTTGAATACAACTCAACCTGGTCAAAACCCGGTGGCCCTGTCTCGAGAGCGACGAAGCCTAGGTGAGTCAGGGCGTTCCACCTTGTGATTGTTGGGACACTCACCTGAGAAGCTGTGTCTGGGTGTAGATGCATGTCTGTGACACGTGTGGGGGGGTAGAGGTTATAGTGAACATGGATATGGAGAGAGATGAGAAGGAGGGCCTGGGCCTTGTGTAGGATCTAGGTGTTATGCTCCAAGAGGGTAGGAGAGAGAGGCTGGAGCTCTGCAAACTGCTGTGCTTTAAATACCCCTGGTGCTGATTTGCTCTAAGTGTCACCTCCTGCCTAGGACTGCCACTGCAGTGAGAACCATCATTTTACTGGGAGGTCCTCCCCAGGGTGCAGCTCTGTCCAGGGAGGGAGCTTGAGGGGTGGGAGGAGGAAAAAGAACATCTGTGTATGTGTGAGAGCTGTGTGGGGTCTTTCTCTTGAGTAGAGGTGGCTGCAGCGGGTTGGTAACAGCTGCAAAGACTGTTTCATCCCACCTTCTTCTCTTGGCCCTCCACAGATGCTCTGGCAGCAGCAGAGCCAGCTGTCCTCGCAGAGTGCAAGACGCGGGCAGTGGTCTTTGAAATCTCCCGCAACATGGTGGACAGCACCAACGCCAACTTCGTGGTGTGGCCGCCCTGCGTGGAGGTGCAGCGCTGCTCCGGGTGCTGCAACAACCGCAACGTGCAGTGTCGCCCCATGCAGATTCGTGTCCGGCACGTCCAGGTACGGGAGATGCCTCTCTCTGCTCCCTCCTCCCACAGCCCTCCTCCATCCCCACCCCACAAAACCAAAGCCACAGCGGGTCTCAGGTGCCAAGGCTCGTTGCAGCCTCTGGCGCGGGGTGATGTCCGGTGCGGGGTCACATCTGTCAAACCAGCTGCTCGGAGGGCTGGTGCTGTCCAGCAGCTGCGGACTGTCACCATAGTGGAGCTACAGGGCCTGGTCCCCAGCTGCAGCTCCACGCCAGGGCTGTATCTGTGGCTGGAGGTGGCCTTGTCTGCTGTGTTAGAGGAGAAACAGGATGCTTTTGTCATTCTTAATGCAGAAAAAGAGGAAGGCTTGCAGTATCAGTGCTCCGTCCCCTCGCTGCTGCTGCAGCTTCTTCCCAAGACACACACTGGAGCAGCTTCTCCTCTTTCTCATCCCCACGGTTACCTCCTGACCCACTCCAGCAGCAAGCAAACACTTGATGGTCAACTGCTTGCTCTGATCCTGCCCTCCTCACAGCTACCAGTGATTCTCTCACAGCTTCCTCCCAGACAGCTTGTTTAAAAATATTACTTGTCCCATACTAATCCTCTGCCTGAGCTGTAAGAGACTCCCCCAGGCAGGCAGCAGAGGTTGGCTGGGAGAGGTTGTATTCACACAGTCCTTTTCATCAGGAAATTCCTTTCTCAGAAAAGCCAGGCTGAATGGGGAAAATTGGGGGGGGGGAGCAGGAGTTGTTTTTGTGGAAAAAACAAGTGAGGGGTCAAAAGCCAGCCTGAAAAAGTGACCTGGAAATGGTTTCTTTGAGGACAGAGGTCTCCCTATTGTTTGGCTGGAAGTGTTTGTCTAGTGAGCAGCGTGTGGCCTGAAGCGTGTGGAGTGGGCTTTCAAGGAAAGATAAACAGCCTGGCTGCTTTGGCTCTGGCTGAGGGATGCTGCTGGGGGCAGTGGGCTTAGAGGAATTTAATCCCAGACGTGCGGCAGCACAAGTATTTATAGCTTGTGGAGCACTTCAGGGACCGCAGTCATGTTAGATAAGCCGAGTGGGGTCAGGTCTGGCTGCTTCTGGAATGGGAGGACCCCCTAGAAAGCTTGTGCCCTGTGGTGGGATGTGGAACAGTGAGTCTTCCTTCTGAGTCAGCACTGGTGGAGAGTCTGAGGGAATTTCCAGAGCACCGCCTTTCCCATGAAGCACAGAGCTGAGGGCTTCAGCCCTGCGAGTTATTAAAGAGCTTGAGACAAATTCAGACAGGCCTCAGCAGAGCTGGTGAAGCTGTGCTTGCTTGCATCAGGACCAAGTTTTTCTCCTTTTGCGCTTCCTGTAGGATCCCATGGCAATTAATTCTGGTTGGCCCCAGGTCTCCACCATCACATCGGTCAGAATCAGGCTAGTGTGTTCTGCACGTCCCATGTTTCTGACTGTGATCACCCAGTCATCCTGCTCAAGCAGCGGTGATAATTTGGAACAGGGGAAATAACCAGTCACATCTGAACTTCCCTGATCTAGGTCTGCTCTGCTGGTGTGTGCAGAATGAGCTCCCATACACACTACCCCTGAATTTGAACAGTACTCTATAAACTGCCTCCTGACCCTTTAGGAAGAAAGCCAGTACTGAAGTGTGCTGATGCTGATTATTTCTGCAGAGCAGGAGCTAAAGCTGTATTTACCTTTTGCTTGCCTCCCTCTTCCAAATAGGTGAACAAGATCGAATTTGTCCAAAGGAAGCCAAAATTCAAAAAAGTCGTTGTGCCTTTGGAGGACCACGTGCAGTGTCGGTGTGAAGCAGTGTCCCGTCCACCCCCCAGGAGCAGCTGGCCAGGGCCACGTGAACAGAGACGTAAGAATCTTGGCATTAGTAGAGGGGTGGGAGGCGTAAGAAGAGAGTCTGGGAAGAGAGGGAAGAGCCCTCCGCTGGTTTTAGTCTGCTTAGTTCCAGTGATTCCCATGGGCCTTCACATGGCCCTTATACCAGCTGAGGGACCTTTCTCAGGATATCTGCCTGCCAGCAAGGGGCTGAAACTGAGAGGAATGAGGGAGGGGAAGGTGAGAGGTGAGAGGAAGGGCATCGTGAGAAAAGGGAGAGGGCAGAGACTGCAGAGGACAGAGGACAAGGGACAGAAGAACAAGAGAAGGAGGCCTTGTGGCCCTCCTAATGCAGAGCTCTTTGTTGATAGTGCGTGGAGAAAGATATTTCAGCATGACCCAGCTGTACAGACACTCTCCCCTCTGTTTTGGCAGGCTTGTCACCATCGTTCACCACACCAGCTGTGTCACAGAGGCAGCGAGTGCGCCGGCCGCCGGCACAGAAGAGGAAACATAAGAAGTACAAGCATGTCAATGATAAGAAAGTGCTGAAAGAAATCCTCATAGCATAGAAGTGCTGGCAGGCGAGAGAGAGCACAAGGCAGGTAACAGCAAGCTGCTTTTCCAGCTGGGAGAAATGCACTCCCAGGACACGGTTCTGCCCGAGCACCTCGGACACTTCCCACAGTACCAGCTGTGCTTTCAGCGTGGGGTTACTGCAGGGCTTGGCTGTGATAAAACTGGGGCTGAAGGAAGGGGAAGGACTAGGCTGGGACCCAGCGCGTGCATCCTATTTATGTCTTTATGGCTCTACTTAAGGTTGGAAGGATCATCCTGCAACCATATTTGCCCTCGGGCCCTTCCCTCTCCTTTCTCTGCCTCCCTTACAGGCAGAGAGTCTGACTTCTTTCTACACCTAAATCCCCTCGGGGTGCACGCAATTCATCTCTTCTGCGAAGCAACTCCTGTTCTCCTTTCTCTATTGATTCTCTGTTGAAAGCAGAGAATTAATGTTGCTCTGGGGATTCCTTTTCCTCTTGTGTCATTAGCTGAGTTGGCAAAAAGACTGAAAAGAAAAGCAGCAACACTTTTTGTACATCCTTCTCCTCATGGGAAGCCTATATGCATAAAAAAGGTCATACCAGGGGAAAGGAGAACTGGAATCTCTGGCAAGAGATCTGGACTTTGTCAGCCCAGGGTCTGATTCTTCTCTCCTGGACTTGTGTAAACAGGAGTAATTCCCTCGTCATCAGAAGAATTTCAGTGGTACAAGGGAAAGGAAAATAAGCCCTGGTTCCCTGTGAGAGAGGGGAAGGTGCAGAAAAGAAGGAGTAGCCAGGGCACAGACCTGGGAGGGGGGAGGTTAACAGGGAAAGCCCTGGTCTGTGACTCAGCAGTTCCAGCTTCTGCCACTGTCCCTTGAACAGGCCTGAGCTGCTCACTTCATGTTCTCTTCCCCTCGCCTTGGAAAAGGGGGACGATGGGCTTCCACAGCGGGGCATTTCAGGAGCTGGGGATGAGGGGCTCCAGGCAGTGTCTTGGGATTGGTATTCCCACGCTTAGCACTATGGGGATGCTGATTATCCCAGGATCTTCCTGGCCAGCCCCAGGTTCCCAGGGTAGAAATGCAAATCTCAGCTCTGGCTCAAGCTGTTCAGGAGAAAAAAATAGAGAAGGTCAAAAGCCCTCCTGGGCTTCTAATCTGACACTACAACTCAAACATTTCCAGAGGAGAAAATGGGAGAGGAGGGGAGTTGCAGGGACAGAGGGTCACATATTCTAATGCTGTGTCTGTTTTTATTTCTCTTCCAGGTTTATTTAATATATTTGCTGTATTGCCCCCATGGGGTCCTTGGAGTGATAACTTTTCTTCTTTGTCTGTCTGCCTCGACGTCTGATTCAGACGGCAATTGGTGCTGCCCTTTCCATCAGTGGACCTTCTCCCACCAAAGCCTCTCCCTTCTTTCATTTATTAGCATACTTTTAAAGTTTTACACAAACAAAGAAAGGACAAACATGACCTATATATATATGTATGAGAAAAGAACAAAGTACAAGTAAAACCTTGAACCCAGACACCCACAACATGCAATGAGGACAGGATAATGCCTTCCCTGCTCCAGAGGACAGGATGGAAAATGTGAAAAGGAAAGTGGGTCCAATTTCTTCTGAGGGGAGGACAAAAACAAACAGACAGCGAGCAGAAGGGGAATATTCTCCCTTCCCCTCATGTTTCTGGTAAGGCTGGGGGGCCCAGCTGAGATCAATACTTGCACTGGACCTATGTTTTGAAAACAGGCATCTCTCTGATTGTGAGCGGCAACCCAAGATGGAAAATGCACTAAGGACTTTTATCACGCTACCTGGACAGATATATATTTTTAATGTGCGTGTGTATATTTTATTTCAAAGAAGAAAAACCAAAACCACTAAGATATACAACATCTCGGGGAACAGAACACAAAAGAAGAAAGAAAAAAAAAGAAGAAGAAAAAGTCAAAACAAAAAAAGCGAAGAAGCCAAATGCATTCCCCCCCTCCCTTTCCCCTCCTGCTCCTGGTGCTGACTGGAAGGTGTTTGGATTGTGGGGAAGGAGGAGGCGGTGGCAGGATCATCTCCACGGCCCCGGCCCCTGCCAAGAGGAGCCATCTTTGCACATGTTGGTGGAGAATTCAACTTTCCAGGCTTGGACTCAGAGTATTTTTTAAATTCGCTCTGTATGTGTGCGCGTGTATATCTGTGTGTATATACGTGTGAGTGTGTGTGTGTATGTGTATTTATACATGCATATATAAATATATATATAAATATATATATATGTTCTTAAATGGATTTCATTCCCCAGTGGCAGGAAGCTCAGAGGCCGTAGGGCTGGCAGAAAAGAACACTGTTACTGTAAGGTGCCTACAAGGTCTGGGATGGGGCAGGCAGGGACATCATCTGATCTCTCTCTATCTTGTTGCCCTTTTCTCTCGCTCTCCACCAACCCCCCAGCACAACTTCCTCACAGGAGGCAAAGTGGCACCACAACAAGACCAACAACAGCCAAACTTAGAAGCATGACTTAATCTTGGTTAGCTGCCCTTGCCTGCTCTGTGGTCCTGAAAGCAGAATCATGTCATTCCCCCGGGGTTTTTAACCCCTTCGCAGTGTCCTGCACACTGTGCCTTCACTGCTCTCTCCCTGCCAGTGTTCCTTCATCCCCCATTTTTTCCCCTCACTTTTTCACTATCAAATTTCTTCTGAATTCTGCCCATTAGGTGTTCCAAGCCCACCTAACTTGGAAGTTGGTCCAAGATGTGGGCAGCTCAGTATAGATATAGAGAAAGAACTTAGAATGGCCTTTGTACTTGGCAGCAGCTGGCTGAGTCAGCAGTGAGCCCTTCTAAGTGAGGACAACTCTGAGGACAACTGGAGGGTCTGTTGTAGAATCCCTCCCAGGCCACTGACTGCTCCAGAGGAAGGAGGAGAGGACTCCGCAGGCAGGGGCTACTCCTACACACCAAATACTCAGTCACCATTAGCAGAAATCTTGCACATGCCAGGAATTTCCAGCATCACCTCAGAGTCCTGCTCCTGGGTTGTGCCATGCTGGGCGGTGTAGAGTGACACATGAAGTCAGTGCCTGCCTCGAGCTAGCCAGGCAGTCCTCCCCTTCCCTCCTGCCTCCAGCCACTTCTCCCCTCACACACGCCTCTGTGTCAGGGCAAAGCCCCCGCAGGAGCTGGAGGAATGAGGCAAAGCTGCAACCTGGGACTTGTAACGAGTTGTGGAGGGACCCAGCCCTCACCTCCTGCAAGCCCAGAGCACTTCTCGTGCCGCTGCCGAGGCTCCCTCCCACCAACCCCGAGCCCTCAAGTCTTAAGAGACTTTGTTCTCCTCTTCCAAAATCTGTTTCCTTTGGTTTGTAAAGATGGTGAGGTTTTATTTTATTTTAAATTTTTTTTTGCCTTTTTTTTAATGTAAAATTAATTTATACTCAGTATTGTATTTAAAGTTGTAAAAAAGAAAAAAAAAATAAGAAAAAAAAGGAAACCAAACCTCTCAAATGCCATTTTCTTTTTCTTTTGTGAACTAAACAAAATGCAGAGGCCAGACTAGCTCAGTGCGGGGCAGAGCGGGATTCCCAGGGCCTCCAGTTTCATTTTCAGGACACTTATTCCGAGATTGCAGAGAGAAGCAACCGGAGCTGGGAAAGTCCTCAGAGCCCACGCACAGCCCTGCCCACAGCTGGCCAGCAGTGCTGCACTGCTCCTTCCCCCCTGTCACCCAGCACTCGGGCTGGTTTGAAATGATTCAGGTGCTGGGGATTTCACCTCAAAGAGGTCCCCTTCTCCTTAGCTGCTCAGTTCGGACACCCGGCCAGAATTTCCCTGCGCTTTCATCTGATCTCCAGATTCCTCTGCTTTGAAGAGCTTGGGACAGTCGGCACTGTTTACACTCGCCAAAGCTGTACAAACAGTCAGCCCCTTCCCTCCTTAGTCACATTGTCTAGACAACTGCAGCCCTTCCCTCGGCTGGGAAGGCCGCTGTGCTTCCCTTTCCTCTGAGCAAGTGAGGCATTACATATCTGGCCTTTGGGCACAGGGCCTGGGGGAGCTAATGCAGCTGCTGGCCTGTGCCTCGGTTTTGGGGTCCCCCAGGCACATGCACAGCATCTCCAGTCCACAGCTCAGCTCTGAGGAGTGTAGACCCAAGTGGGTACTTGTGCTTTGACAGCACCCAGCTGGGTGTCTGGGTGTGCTCCAGGCTGTCCCAAGGGAACAAGCACTCCCAGGTGTGCACCCAGCTCCAGCGTGGCTCATGTGGGATGACAACACGCTGGGAAGGGAGCTGGAGGAGGGGTGAGTTCTGTCTGCCCTCAGGGATGGAAAAGCACAGGCGGAATCATAGCGAGGATAATGATCACATCCCTACTCTGATTTTGTTATGATAATCTGTTGGGAAGAAAGATTTTTGGCGTGAAACTTCTTTGAACTTGAGGGCCTCACTGGCAGGGAATCTGGGGAGCAAGGACTGCAAAGAGGGGTAAAAGGCACAGGAGATAAAGTGTGTCAGCCCGGACCAGGGGTAGGAAGGAGGGCTGGGCATCCCAGGGGGCCAGCACCCGGCCTGGCCCCGGGGAGGGGTGTACAGACCCACCCTCCAGCGTTTTTTCAGGGGGCGGGGGGGCAGGAGGGCAGGCACCTGCCCTGCTTCTCCAGGCTGGTTTGCATCCACCCGGCCAAGCCAAGCTCGGGAAAGAAGTCCTGGAGGCAGCGCTGGGAGGGCTGCATCATGCCACTGGAGAGCACCTCCCTCCATGCAGGGGTGCCATGCCCCGTGTTACAGGTGATCTTGGAGGAGCCGCGGGGCTTGGCAGCTCTCCCTGATGCTTTACCTAAAGGCCCAGCCTCAGGATATGCCATTCAACTGGAGGTTGAGCTTGGTGTTGGAGGAAACGCATCCAGCCTTTGAGGTGGCAGAGTGGCTTTGGTGATGGGTCTTCCTGTGAGAACACAGCTCCCAAAAACGCCAGATGCACAGGAGAGTGATCCCAATGGGATATTCAGGTGTAAAAGGCAAAACTCCATGTTTTAAACCAGGGTTTGAGCTTTTTAGTGTTGAGGGCTTGCAACACTAAAGCTGTCACATGATCAAGCAAAGCAAAAAAACATTTTGCAAGAGTTTCATCACCAGGCCCAGGGAAACCCTTGACCACTTGCTTATTTTATTGGTGCTCAGTGAAAGGCTTAAGCTCACCCCCACGCTTGGCCACGGATCGAAGCAAGAGCCTTTGTCAGCCCAGCCATGTGGCATGAAGCCCACACAGGCCTTCCCTTCCCCACACTCGGCTCATGCCCTCCTGGCATCAGCTGTGTCCCCCACCACAGCCACCCTGTCCCACTGCCCGACCTGCCCACACTCTGGACACAGCTAGGAGAGGGCTTGGTTGGAGCCACTGCCATCCCGTAGGATCCTGGGGTGGGACAGGGATGTGTCGGAGGGTGGTCCTGTCTTACTGTCCGTGTATGAGTGCCTGGTGGGCCCTGGGGGTGGAGAAGCTGTCTGTGCCAAGGGAAAAGTTGGGAACAAAAGGGAGGAAAATTTGAAGAATTAAAAGCTATTTAGGAAAAAAACCACCACCACCAACAACAAAAGCCAACCACCAAAAAAAATCCAACAAAAAAACCCTTGCCTGAGCATGCAGCTGTTCCCTGCTTGCCTTCATGCAGCCCATGACCAAATGGTGTGGCCCCCCTCCAAGCTGTGATCTGCCCATGACCAAGTGAACTTGTTGCAGGCTTGGGAATTTCCCATCTTAAAAGACATGGTGAGGAAGCCAGGCAGCCTTGGCTGTTTGGGGCTTTAAAAGGATTAAAGGAACAACAGAGCCCTCCAAAAAATGAGCAGGAAGAGGGTGGGAAGTGGAGGGAACCCCAGACTCTGGGGGACTCCCTGCAGCTAGTGCAGGCATTGGGTTAACGTGAGAGCCCCATTCACAGTGGTGGGTCTGTGGGGCTCTTGGCAGAGGAGCCAGGAGGGGAAAGAGATCAAAATGTAAAAGGATGGATGCGGTCCTCTACCCCTTTTCCTCCTCCAGCCAAGCAGATACCAAACAGGACTCTCTGGGCACTTGTGTTCCCAACGAGGGCCACAGAGAAGCTGGGAGGAAAGCAGCCTAGAGGGAAGCAACTCCCTTGTAATTACTAACTCAATAAAAGAAGCTGTTTGCAAGTGATTAAGCAGCAACCACCGAACGCGGCGGGGAGCTGGGCAGCAGGGAGGTTTGTGGCTTGACAGTCGATGCATGTTTCGAAATATTTGCTGTGGTTTAATTTCTTTTTTTTTTAGGTTTTTTTTGCACATGCAGCAAAAGAAAGGATGGTGCAGAGATGTCAGGCAACTATCACCACTGCAGGTCTTTTCCTCAGAAGCTTTGGAAAACTCCTGAGTTCCCAAATGCCCTGACCTTTGGCCCTGGCCACTGCTGGCCAGTGCAATCAGTGAAAATAAGCTC